CGAGTCAAGCGCCCTAACCACCTGGCCAGGTATGATGAACATTTCTGACGCTAATTGTGTATCTCGGAGTAAAAGGTCGAGAAAAAGAAAACAAACAAACTATGCAACAAAAGAGTCAGAATAGGAAACACGCCCTGACAGCTAACGAAAAATATAAGCTGCTCATCGTCAAGCCAAGTCTGAGCAAGAGAGGAAATTCCACAGAAACAGTGACGTCATCCGCCATGTTTTAAAAATAGCTAAACTACTGTTCAAGTAATACGGTTAGTAGAAGGTACTATAATTTTTAACATAACCCTCAAATACTCGACTTGTGCTTACACCGTTCACTACTCGTGAGGGTCCACACACACAATGAATGATTTCGAGTATTTCTCTGTTTTTCCCTGTTACGACACCGCTACCAAATCGCACCCACTCTTTGAGAAATACTTAAGGGGCTCCTGCACTTACTAGCGAGATTCAATACAATACTGATGCTATTTTTTTGTTTTTGAGTGACTCATAATATGGACCAACAAACAACGTGGTGTATAGAAACAAAAAGAAAGAAAAAATCTGATGGATTTGGACTCCATCGGTAATCTTGGAGTTAAAACTGAACTCTTAAAAGAAAATGGTCCTTGTCTCCAAGGTTACAGAATTACGTCGATAATAACCGGGGGTTCGCTAAAATTCGGGGTTTGATTCCGGTAGTGGGCGCAGATAGTCCATTATGCAGGTTTCTGCTTAAACCGACAAAATTAAAGAAAATTAGATTTTGTGTAAAACGTGCTTACCTGCAATGTACCATTATGGGACAGGAGCGACCTCTGTAGGATTTGTTTACCTTCCTGAAATAACACCCACATTCATTGAAATACAGTAGGATAACAGTTTAAACTTACACTATTTCTTATGTTCTCTCTAAAACCCACATTCATTGAACCAATGAATGTGGGTTTTAGAGAGAACATACAAAATAGTGTAAGTTTAAACTGTTATCCTACTGTACAAAATAGTGTAAGTTTAAACTGTTATCCTACTGTATTTATGTTCTCTTCAAAACCCACATACGGTAGTATACGGGATACTGACCACGATGTCAAGAAAAGGTTGCGAGAAAAGAAATTAGGGACCATTTCTTAAGTTGACAAGAAAACGTGTTACTAATTCTTAGTGTGGTACGTTGGGCTGTAGATACCTAGGGGAAATAATATTTCACCCCTTTCCCCAGCCCAATGTTACAGAATAGGAAACAATAAAACACGTTATAAAGTAAGTAACTATAGGATCATGATTCCAACCACCACGATGGTGGTGGTGTGGGGGGAAAGGAGCAACCGTTCTTGATTTGTGGGGGCCTCACCCCGACCTCTGAACTTCATCAACGTCTCCTATGTGCTACAAAGTAAGTCGGGTGTATTTAACGCCACTAAGTCCAGAAATACAACAAAAACCCAAATTCTAATATATCCCGTTCAAAACGTTATTAATACATTCGTGGGGAATTTCGTTGACAACTTGAGTTATAAGGAAAAGTGGGCTCAACGCAATTTGTACATTATTGTTTTTACGTTTTATAGTTCACAAACTATATTTGTAAACATACAAAGTGAACCATTATAACTTTCAGTAGTGTTTTAGTTGTCTTTAATTACTACAAGTTGACAAGTATTTTTACAGCTTTTTTCTTAATTTGTACAGATCCTCATGAAATATTTTACTCCCTACAATAGTACTACTAGAGAATACTTCCATACTAGTGATACCACTAGAGAATACTTCCCTACAAGTGGTACTACTAGAGAATATTTCCATACTAGTGATACCACTAGAGAATACTT